ACGAAAATACTCCCTGATACCATCGATTAATCATTTTCCTCTTTTCTTCTAGAGATACAGTGCAATGTTCTCCATCCTTGTCTCTCTGATCATGTTCTCTAATGTCTTAGTGACTTTTATGGTGAAGTGGGTACCACTTCCAACATATTTTCACTCTGTTTTTATGAGCCTTTTACTTGTTCTTGGGGAACGCTGTAATGAGCACTGATTTTTTTTTTATTCTGCTTTAGTTAATCAGCTAAGCTTCTTCCTAACTGAAGATCATCTGGGCAAAAAGAGTATTTTTCTTTGTGCCTAGTGGTTTTTTTGGTGCAACTTGTATTGCAGTGTTTGGGAAGGACCTTGATGGCCAAGTGGATTTTTTTTTTTGTTTAACCTGACTTCTAGTTTTGTTTGGTTAACGGTTTCAATCAGTCTGCAGTTGTAAGGAACTCTGTCTGGTTCAGTTTTCACTTCTCCCACCCCCGCCCCTCCCACCAGAACACCCACGCCTACCTCAGGCCCTGAAACTTCTGCAGACCCGTTCCCCATTGGCCCTAAGAGAGCCGTTCTCGTCACTTTGTTGTGAGCCTCTCACAGTCATACAGTCATAGAATTCCAAATCAATAACTACCCAGGGCTCCAGAACCATTTTTATAATAGCAACTGCTCTTTATATATATTGGTACAAGGTCACATGGCAAGAGGCAAAGTCAAGCCCTGAGCCCAAGGCTGCGTCATTCCAAGGCTTATTTCTGTCTTTCTGAGCCTGTGGGCCTGACAGATTGACATTGGGCGAGCACACATTTCCCCCTCCCCCACCCCCGCATCCCTGCTCACCCTCACACGATAACACATCCTTGTATGTTCTTCTCTCTTCTCTTCCTTCACCATTTCCTTTTAAATGATATTCCCTTTTAAAATTACTCAAAGAGCTAGTGGTCTGCCCTGTGGAAAACTCTTACCGAGAGTATCTCAGTGACCCTTGATAATGATTGAGCCAGTTCTTACCGGACATTTTGAGGATCATAGTTTACCTACATCCTCATTATTTATAATGTTAGGAAAAAATAATAAGTTATCAGGACAAAGATAGTAACACATTTTTCCCATGTAAAACGTAGGCTGTGTCCTTAACACAATATGTTGACATCCATTCTTGAGAGTTTCAGAATTAAATGTATATGTGGAGCCAATAAAAGAGAAATATAGTGAAAGCTTTATGTCAGGTCAGGAAACAAACATTAATAAATGTTAGATAGCTTTAGTGAGAAAAAATGTATCAAAAACTCTAAATTAATATGAAAAAGAGTCTCCAGACCAAAGTACACGAATAAATAATTTACTGTTAAAGAAACTGAAACTGCTATTAAAAATAGAAGGCTTCCCCCCCCCCTCTGGTAATGGAGAGTCAGGAGAAATGCTTACAAGGCCATCTTCACAGTCTTCTAAAGATGGGCCAACCAAAGTTCCTTGCAGAAGAGCAAGTTCCAAGTCACTGATGGAATTCATGAGGACAGTAATCCCAGAGATCTTTGGGAAGGAATGCGGATAGCTGCGTACATGTTGCCTGATCATCTTTTCTGACTTGAGACCCTACACTAGGTGATGATGTTTCCTCTGACATTTTGGTCACACCTGCCGTGTGCCACCGAGCCTGCCTCAGACACAGAAGGCCAGGCCAACATTCCCAACCCACTGATACCACGCGTCACGAAAGTGCTCTCCTGCAGAGAACAAATGCAACAGCCAACAGGGTCGACTACCAGCAGCAAGTAGTGCCAGCACAGACTACAGCAGGCAGGAGAAATGGCAGAATATTTATCACAAAAAACAAGTGAAATGCACTCATTATAGAAATAGTGACCTGTAGGCTAGAGAAGAAGTAACAGTTCACTACTCCTGCAGTCAACCCCTTGAGCCATTTAACTGTCTACTCAAAGTCATGCTATCTGACTAGCTTTTTACTATGTTTTAAATGTGTAACCAAGAACACTTTCTCATAGTCTTCATTCTTCTTAGGCTGCTTAACACCTTTGGGTATAGTTTTGCATTGGGTTTTGAAAAAAATTGTAACAGAGGGGACACTTAGGAAGATAAGCAGCCCCCTTCCGTCCCCCTCTTCCTCCTTCCCTCCCTCCCTGTCTTCCTCCTTCCCTCCCTCCATCCATCTCTCTTTTTCTCCCTCCATCTTTCCCTCCTTCCCTCCCTCCTTCCCTCCCTCCTGGCCTCCATCCTTCTGGCTTGTCACCAGCATGTTGCCCTGCACTCCTAGACTCCCAGTCTTCCATTGAGAGAGGCCCTCCTCCCCACTGGCCAGCTCCACCTCGAAGCCCAAGAACCAGATTGGGAAGTGTACGTGGTCTGTTGTTCAGGGCAGGGGGCATGGCGCCCGAGGACAGGACTGGAGGGCAAAGGAAGGGATCCAGTATGCGCTCTCATTTCTATTTTAAAATAATATTTGGAAGGGATTTAGAAGCAGCCAAAAAAGACCCAGCTGAGGTTGTAATTTAGTCACAGGGTAGCTGTGAAGTGACCTCTGTGAGCCGTGTTTTTAATAATCTTGAAAAACCAAAAGGACTGTGATCAAACTACTGAACTCATCCTGCAGGGGTGTCTCGAATGTGTTGTTTTCATGAGTGGGCTTTTAAAGGGATACAGTATATTGAGACATTGATATAAACTGTGCAAAAAAAAAATACAGTCACAGCTCTTCCTGTATGTCTTTGTAGTTTGCAGAGAGATTCTGATTTGAAGAGATTTCATGGTGAAATCAGACGTCAGCTGTTAGGTGAAGAATTTTAAAAGCGGGAATGGCTATGTTCCCTGAACGTGTGGTACAGAAGGAAGAAAGAGAAGGTAATTCCATTCCTGAGACAGGCGTAGCCTGCGTAGATGACACTACCAGGAAGACAATGGAGAAAAGATGGGTTTGGAAGAGACTGACCACAGAACAATAGGAGAGACTTAAGACCGATATGTCTGTATCTATTAATGTTTTTATTAAAGAGGATTGACAGGTTCACAAAATGAGATCTTGTGAGAGACTCTGGTTGGATTCCACAGGCTAGCTATTTAGGGAAATGTCTTTCATCACGTTATCTGCATTGATGGAAAAAAAAAACCCTCCATAGCCCTCCAGTGGTCACAGTATCTTTGCAGAACATAAGATTCCAGAAAATCCAAGAGTCACAGAAGGCCAAACAGCTGCGGGAGAGTACAAATAGCTCTAATCCGAAATGCATGATTTATCCAGTGGGCACATGATTGCTAGCAATCTTACTTTTTTTGGTGATTACGAAATTGAGCATAGTAGTGCATGTGATTCTATTTGAAGGTTTTAAAAGAGTTTGTTGTTGTTGTTTTACAACAATCATGCAGGAATATTGGGGATTTTAATTTAAGTAAGAGAACTATGTGGAGGTTTATTAAGAAGATAGAATGGGAAAAATGAGAAAGTAATACAGAGACCTTCAGTTGGGAGAATATTAAGTAGACTGCCTTGGGAAGAGGCTTGTAGTTGCTTGTCTGTGTTGGGCTAATCTACATAATTGACTAAAACAGAATGAACAGCTGTGAAATACAGTATTTGGATGTGTGGGTAAAACAAATTACAATCTATACAAGGTCACAGAACATGGAATGTATTTTCATAGAATTATAGAATTTCAAAGCTTGTTCAGGATATAAGAAATCAACCAATCTTCCAGAGAAGCTAAATTTACTTTGTCAAGGTCATCTACCTGCTTGTATGAAACCAGATAAATAAAATCAAAGCTCAGCTCTACCACTTAAGCTGTCTCTTGGCAAAGACCATTCTATCTTTCTATACCTCAGTGTGCCAATCTGAAAAATGAAATTGATAATTAGATTAAATAATACATCTAGTCACTGGTGGTTCATGCCTGTAATCCTAACTACTCAGAAGGCTGAGATTTGAGGATCACAGATTGAATGCAGCCTGAGCAAAACATCCATGAGACTCTTATCTCCAATTAACTAGTAAAAAGCTAGAAGTGGAGGTATGGCTTAAATGGTAGAGTGCTAGTCTTGAGTGCAAAATTAAAGTAAGAACTCAAGGCCCTGAGTTCAGTCCCCAGTATTGGAACAAAAAGAAGGAAAAGAAAAGAGAAGGAAGGAAGGAAGGAAGGAAGGAAAACAAGCACAAGAAAGAGGGAGGGGAAGTAAGAAGGAAAAAAGGGAGAGAAAAAAGAAAAAGAAAGGAAAGAAAGGAAGGAAGAAAAAAAGAAAAGATATTTTGCAGTAACACTAGAGAGTACATCAGACTTCTTAGTAAACAATCTAAAATGAGGGTCTGCTAAAACACTGTTAAGAAAAAATGTGCATATAAAGGATCAAGCTAATATTTACGACAAGATCAGATATTAAAGGCTTGAGAAAGGAAGCAGGAAACAAATGTCAAGGGAAGAGAAACTCTTTGTCATGATTCTTAGGCATTCTGCGAGCCCTCGAGCCACCCCACTCTCCACCAGGACCCAGAGGAAGCCCCAGAACTGTGTGTGTGGCCAACAGTCTGTGTGATTGGGCACCGGGGATTAATAGACCACACTGAGAAACACTGACTTGACCTCGTCTCCTTATTTCACGAATCTGCACGAGACTTGTGAAGGAAAGTGCTCGGGCAGCCTCACTTCTGTCCTCGTTGGAGCCTGCGCTGAATCAGGCTCCGGCAGAGCAGCTTTGTTCTCTACAGACTTAGCTTTAAATCCTACTTCCATTCGAGGGGGTGAAGAGGATCAGAGACCTCATGTGCATGTCCAGAAACACCACAAGGCACTGCGTGATACAATGAGAAGCGAGATAAACATGAAATGTAATGCGCCATCGTGTACTATACCCCGTGACCCTTCCTGAAACCTTCTAGGTTGGTTTGATGTGTTAAATTGCTTCATAACACGTCAGGACCCGTGAAAAATAACTCGTTGGATTGCTATAAAAGAAAAATCAATTCACCTCCAGGCATGGATCCGCTCACCACACATATGCCATTTGTTTTCTAGAATCACAACCACGGCTGCCTGCATGATGGACCTGAGACGGTACCCACTGGACGAACAAAACTGCACGCTGGAAATCGAGAGCTGTAAGTCTGTCTGAGGGGCCAGCTAGGCTGAGCTCTGCTTCAAGAGTCCGTTGGGCAGAGGCCCAGCTCTTGTCTACAGTAAATCCTGCCAAGGTTCCTGTAGAGCCAGGAGATTACCGGATGTTGGCCGTTGATTTTGTGTTGAGCTACCGTGATCGAGGTCTAACACTTATATTCATGCTGAAAGCCATGCTATGAGCATGATTGGTGTGTGTGTGTGTGTGTGTTGTGTGTGTGCATGTGCACACGTGTGTATGCATTACTCTATTTACTGCACTGACCTGTTTAGCAGTGTAGCTGCTTTTCTGGGCTCGGGTTTGAGCCTCTCTGTTGATGAGTCAGTCAGCAAATGTTGGTTTCATAACCTGTCTCTATTTCAGGGTCACTTGGGAGGGAGCAGGAGGTGGAAAAACATCTCAACTCTTCTTTCCTCTGTCAGTGCTTTGGAATGATTTCCCTCCTGGTCCCACCAAATGAATAATTTGGAAACTGGCGATTTTTCCATGCGCCGTTGTCCATCAGGAGGAGCGGGGCTGCCGTGAGGGGCCTTTGTGAGGGATTTTATGTGTGTCAGCCATTGTCACTTGCAGTCGCTGTTCTGAGCAGAAATAACAGCATTCACAGCACACGATGGGTATTTTTGCCCATTTCAAAAGATAGCTTCTAGGGACTAATTAATTTTGCATGGATTTTTTTTTGAAGAAACTTCATGCCCTACTGCACATCATCATTATTTTTAAATTAGATCTTTGCCTTGCAGAACTACTTGATGAATTGGCTCTATAGGATTTCAGTGATTAATTTTATGTAAATATCTTTAGGGTAACAGTTCATGTCTCACTGTCTTATCTTACAGTACAACTTAGGGCACAATACTCTCCAAAGGCCAAATTCTTCGGCAGTTTCAAATCATTGACTCAATGATCTTTATTAATTATTCTCTTAATGATCTGTAAATGGCTGCACAATTTTGTTTTGATTGAACATGTCCACTCATGAGCTTGAGCCGTGTCAGCCCTTCTTTTATTCTCTTCTTTTTCCTGTCTATCTTAACTGCCCACCTGTCCCCTCAACTTTTCTAGTTCCATTTTCACACGTACACATGGGTGTTACGACTCTCTTAACCCACCATGCCTCTCACTTTGCAAAGAGTATTTCTGGGTACCACTAAATGAATTTTTGGTGTCATGAGAGCATTTTTGGACTTTCGAGTGTGAACTTTTACTTGAGTGTTCAGTGATCGTGGTTGTGCATGGATGAAGTCCTGTCACCAATCACACTCATGAGGGTCTCCCTCAGGAGACGTAGCCTTTTGATTGTAGCGGACTCACGACTAAGAATGTAACACCCAGGCACTTCATGGTGTCATGAAGTTAGAATCTTGATATGAATATTGACATGATAATTCATTATGCTTTGCACAGGTTATTTTTCACTGTAGCCCTTCTGTGAACATCAGAACATATTCCTATAACCAGAGAAACAGATTCGAAAAGATAATGTGATTTGTCCAGGCCCGCCCAGTCCTTTACTGGCAGAATGAGCGGCCATGGTGACTGAACGCTGACTTCCCTGAGGAAAGACACCGATTGTGGAGGAACCAGATGGACAGACGCGTGTTTTAATTCCAAATCAGGAAAATATCCTGTTCTTAAGGGGAAATCTGGATTCTGTATTCATTATGCATATAGAGCAGAGAACAAATCGTTGTTATGGAGAATGAAATTTGGTATTCCATTCGTGGCATTCAGCATTTGTATTATAAATAGTTGACTAATTAAGCATATTAAAATAAGCTCAGAGCTCAGCTTCTTTCCCTTAAAAAAGAAAATCCCAGTTGTCTGACATTCTACTTTCTTTTTTCCTTCTTTGTATTTTTTTCATAAATAGCTAGTTTTACTTAATCACTGTCTAATATAAAATACCACTTTTTTCATCTACTCCTTTCCTTTCTGCAAGTCGTAGGCCTCTCTGACCTCCTGTCTCTCTCTGCCCTTTTCTTCCTTCTCTCAGTCCTCTCCCTTCCTGTGTCCGCTCTCAAATGAAAATGGCCCTAAGGGCTGCTAAATCATGAATACTTGTCAGCATTTTGTCAGTAAATACATCCGTTCTGTTTCAGAGAGGATAACAACACTTGTCTTGAACTGGTGAAACACAGGAATGGGTTCCTTGCTCATTTGTTAATTTAGTCATTCAAGGATTTACTTATTCTATAAGTAATTTCTTTAGCCCTCATTATCCACCAGGCATTATAAGAAGCTTTAGAAATATAATGAGAAGAACAACACACCATACTATACCTCCCCTCTTCCCTTCTGATGATTAATAGATATAACTTAAATAAATCCATGAATAAAACAACTGCATGAGTGAAAGAAAAAGTGATGCCAAGATAAAGTGTCTCATCCTCTTAAGACCTTAAACTACTTAGAGCGAGCCTTGAGATCCACCTTGAGGTTTCTGCGTGGTCAGTGTACGCTGCGTTTACTTCATTACTTCACTTAAATAGAGATGGAGCGAGAAGCTCTGTGTAGTTAATGGGATTTGCAGAATTAAATAGGCCCTGGTCGTATTCATCACCAAACCAGAAAAGAGAATCCATTCTGAGGTGCTTCCAACCATGACTCTTAAAATAGCTTTTACCTAATTATTCCCGTTATCTCTGCAGTCGGAGGCAGTTTGTCATATTTTGTTCATGTAGCATCATGTGCAGGTGAGCTGATGTGGCAGGTAAGTTTCATTACTTCCGGTGCCATCCACTGCCTTCTAGAGTGATTCAGCCAGCTGCCAACAGGGTAAAATCAAACTAATACCTTTCACCACCTCCGAGTTAGGAAATAGCATTAATAACTAGCTTCAGAATCCAGAGATGAAGGGGAAGGACAGCCTGGTTGTAAGTATAATCCATTCATGGTTTTGTTATCTAACCCCTTAAATGGATCAAAAAGGCAGCCACCTGCTGCTCTTCTGACGGAGCCCAAGTCCCTGTGGACATGCAACCGCGTCGGTCCAAAGATCTCTGCTCCTGAAGACGCTCAGTGTGCAGCAGAAGCTGCAAGGAGGCCTGCCATTGTCTAATTGAATTCCAGGTTGGATATCATGCCTATTGATAGAATAATGCCTCTCTCTATTCAACCATTTCATTCTAGAACATTCTATTGAAAGGGTCAGCAGATTTCTTTCTGTAAAGTACTGGAGGTGTGCAGTACAAATTTAGCACAGCACCGGGGTCATACATCTGGAGCCAGGTTATGCTGGATAATATTTTAGTTAGCACAACTATAAAATTTTCAAGGGCTTAGACGTAATAAAAATACTGTTGCGTTTTTGGCCTTTAAGTCAGAGGGACCTTGGAGTTGTGGGTATACTGGCAGCGGAGGGTGTGAGCAGGAGCGATGATAACATGGTGATCGTCTGGTGATGTTACAGTGATGTGGTCATATGACGTTGGTGCGAGGTTGATACGGTAATATGGTCATGGTATGGCGATATGGTGATGATAAAGTGGTATGGTGGTGAAGGCTCTTTAAAAATATAAATAGGCCTAGCTTGGAGCTAACTAGACAGGTGATACAGCTCCTGCCAGTTTCTCATTTGTGCAGTCTTGCACAAAGGGTAGACTTCTGTGCAGTGCTCGGTATTGCTGTAGCAGCTCTGATTGCTATAGTACCATCATGACCATTACCAAATTAAACCTGGCATATGGTGCCCAATTAGAATCACATGTTTTCAGAGGAGCATTCACCCATCAGAACAGCCAAAGCAAAGAGTGGATGGCGTATAAACGGTGGAGAACCCGAAGACACTGGACTCCGGTGCGGGATGCCCATTTGCCCTGGGGAAGGGACATTTACAGAATAGGGATTTTCAAATAGCCATGGAATTGCCTCTTAAGAGAGCAAGCAGCCTGTGTCTTCCCTAAGGGAAGAACCAGTCTAAAGGTAAAAGATGCAAAGAAGGCAATTTGAGACTGAAAAGTTAAAAAAAAAAAAAGGAAAAACTCATCGCAATTATAGCTAGGAAAAATCAGATGGGTTGCTGCCTACAGTATGCCATTTTCTGGGACCATTGGGTGAATGATAAGAGTAGAACATTTCTGTTTCTAAGTAGTTGCGGGTTGAAGTTTACTTGGTACCAATAAAAATGGGAAACTTTAATTAAAGGGCAATTAGACAAGCGCTGAAGCAAATACCTCTGGGAGCAATGCTGTTTAGGAAAAGATGAAACTCACATCCCTGCTAAGGTTTTAACTTGAACATTCCATGTGTGCGTGTGCATGTGTGTGTGTGTGTGTGTGTGTGTGTGTTGCTGAAGGGCTTATTATCTAGCAAATAAACTGCTTTTCTCAGATTTACACAATAAGATTCTAAACTATTTTCTAGTTTTCTAAATAATCTAACTCCCATCCCCCCTCCCCCTTTGCCTTTTGTATTTCTTACCTTTTTGAACTCAAGGCCTAGGCGCTGTCCCTGAGCTTTTGTGCTCAAGACTAATGCTCTACTCCTCCACTTCCATCTTTTTGCTGGTTAATCAAAGATAAGACTCTTATGTGACTCCTAATAAGACTTCCTGCCTGGGTAGGTTCGCTGCGCTGCAAATTGTGATCTTCAGATCTCAGCCTCCTGAGTCTCTAGGAGTACAGGTGTGAGCCACTGGCACCCAACTCCTGTCTTTTAAGGACCAACAGAAGTTGTTTGCATGCATCAGCCCTGTCAGGCTGACAGAGTGGCGATATGAAGTAATAACGCTTCCAAGAATTTCAGATGATCTTGGAATTCTTTTTGAATTTTAATTTCTTAGTATCTTCACTTGTGCTCAGGGCTCCAACCCAACATGTCAGTGTCTGCGCACCGGGCATCTTGATCACTGTCACCTGCCCATCGTTCCCCATCTCGTTTCGATTAGAGAAATATTCCTGAGAAACTCTGGCGATGCCTCGTGTAATTATTTATCAAGGAAAAAGCAAATTGCATGGCAAAAAGCTCCCCAGCATCACCAAA